CTGACTAAATTCTAAGCTTATCCATACACATTTCTGCACTTTCATCCAAATTCCTTTAGTCTTCCACCGCAAAAACAATATGTAAATCTTTCGCACAAGGAGAGACACACGCTTCCTGAATGCGCCACCATTCCCTTGACGTCAAGTACTTTAGTAAAGGAAATTATGCTTGCAAGGGCCTAGCAACTACTGATCTAGACAAGCCTATCATGCCAACTAACCGAACTCGATGATGAAACAAACGCCCCAAAAATCCCCAAGAACAAAGAATGACTATGGATGGCTCAGCCTGCACGACCCACTGCGAAGCAATGCCCGACAAATCCCCGCGTGCTCCCGCCGCTCAATAGAACGATCAACGTTTGAATAATGAGAAAAATGATCTTCTTTTTATGCATTTTTGCTTTATATGCAAATTGCAAAAACGCATATTGCGACGACCCTGCCTGTGCGTGTATGTATGTGTGTTCGCCTGTCCGAGTATTTCAATTCGGCAACCAAGCAAGCTTCAGCGCCAAAATTTTACTACTGGGTTCCTCGGTCAAGTGCCACTCCAGGACCGCGGCACCAACCTTCAAACAAGTCTGGCCCCGCGTACAAGAAGGCGAAAGTTTTGGCGGGAAAACTGATAACTTGGAAACGAGGAACGCTAGAAAGCTGAAATGTTGAGATTATGTCTCCTGTCCAAATAGAACTCAAAGATTTCAAATTCAGCCCCCGGGTATGCGTAGTTCCCGCGTACGGTCCCGTGAGGGTTCCTGGCGCGAAAGTCGTTAAATTGGGAACCAGGAAAGCTGGGAGGCTGAAATTTTCATGGAATGTTAAAATTATCAAATTCAAGCCTCAGGCATGAGCGGGTCTCACGTACGGTTCTGTGCGATTTTTTGGCGGAAAAATGGCTAGTTTAAAAAAAAGGGAAGTTGGGAGGCTGATAATTTAAAGGGATGTTCCTAGCCCATGTACAACTTAAAATTATCAAATTCAGCCCCCAGGAATGCGCGGTTCTCACATGCGACCTCGTGAGATTTTTTGGGGAAAAAACAGCTAACTCATGAACCAGGACAGCTCGAAGGCTGGATTTTTAAAGGGATGTTCATAACCCATGTGGAACTTAAAGTTATCAAATCCAGCCCCCAAGCATGCCAGTATTCATGTATGGCCTCGTGAAACTCTTTGGCGGGAAAATAGCTAACTCGGGAGCCAGGAAAGCTCGAGGCAGAAATTTTAAAGGGATGTTCCCAGTCCGTGTACGACTTAAACATCCCAAACCCAGCTCCCAGGTCACGTGCGGCCCTGTAAAAGTTTTGGCGGGAAAACTGCTAATTGGTTGATCAGAAAAGCTGAAAAGCTAAGATTTCAGAAGAATATTCCCCGTCCGAATACAACTTAAAGCTTTCAAATTCAGCCTCCACGTACGCGTGGTTCTCGTATACGGGAACACAAATCTTTGGCGGGAAAATTACTGACTGAACAGCTGAGTCATTTTCAAAAAGCGATCAATAAACGGAAATTATTTCCTTTCATGCAAAATTCACGATGATTTACAGTACTGAACGCATAAGATAGGTGTGGAGAAACAACCGTTCATGCAGTCAACCTAATCAAGTTTGGCGCAAAAATGCGTGATCGCACCGGCTCGCCTGGTGCGTTCCAGCCTGGGTTTTTTTCAAAGTTTCACCCTGGGTTTACAATAAGTGTCGATGCTCCGCAAACATTTTCAAACATTTTGCATCTATGCAAATTAATTTATATCCTAAAAGCTATAAAAGCTGGAAATTTTGACATTCTTTTTGTAACATGAGGCACTTGAGTCATCTTTAATGAAGTCAAGAAGGCTTGAGGCCACAATAACGCAACAAGGATTTATACCTTGGCCGGAAAACCGGCCGGTCTTGTGACTACTTAATAAGATGACAAGTATTTCATACTATATACTCCTGAGGGCAGGTGTAATTTCATTTGGAAATTTGATTTGGAGAAAGGAGAATTTGACGAGAGAGGAAAATAGAGAAAAGTAGCAGTATTTGAGGCAAT